TGACCAAAGTCAACTTTAGCAATATTAATATCAAAATTCTTTAAATTTTTCACAAAGTTCACATATTTCAACATAAAAGCTTTCCGGCTTCGCGCCCGGACTGCGCACGCAAATCGAGGCAACTAAAAGCGAGGTTTTCAAGGCCTCGGAAGCACGGAAATAGGAAGAAGTCCGGTGATGACCCCTTTGGATCGTCACACACATATTCAGTAAACTTCTTACAACAAAATAGGATTTAAATCAACGCTATTAGATTCGATCGAACAAGTAAGTATTCTCTCTAGCACCACCCGTGATTCCACAATGCTTAAAAAATTAAGGTGTCTGGAAGGCATATCCTAGGAAGGGGAAATCACATTCTTAGTCTTGATTTGCGTGCCTGTTGATTTTTCTGATAATTAGCGCTTGTCCATCCTTTTAAGTTAGAGGTGAATGAACCCCTTCATTATTATAATAAACTCCCCTGATTTTCGCTTAAGGCCTTCATTGGATGGTTCAAAGTAAGGGTGTCAAACGGGTCGGGTTGACCCGTTTCCAGACCGGTTGAAACCCGGACCAGTAGTTAGGTGGCCGGGTGGGCTAGGTTAGGAGGTTTAGGGGGGCTGGTCCGTTCACCTAAATAGATCCGATTAACCGGACCAGTTAAACCCGATCAACCAAAATTCCTTTTTAACCGGTTAACTGGCTCGGGCCAGACCAGTTTAACGGCTAGATTTCTGTTTTTTTTTTTTAAAATATTTTAGACCGTTGGCAACGGTCAGCTGGCCTTTGGCCGTTGCCCAACAGGGGGATTGCACAAATAGCCTCTTTTTGGGCAATTTTTTTGTATAAAATAACACTTTTTTTTTGTGATTATTAATTTAGTCCTTTGAAGAATTATAAATACACCCCCCCCCCTCTTCATTTCTTCACGCATCTCTCATTTCTAATTCTCAAACTCATATTCTCAATTATCATTCTCTCATTCTTCACCTAAAGTGCAATCAACTATTTGTCTCTCATTTTTTTGGGAATTTAATTTATCGTATTATTTATTATTTGAGGTTTGAACCATTGAACTTCAAACTTTGAACAATTGATGTTTCTTCGTGGTAACATGGAGTTGCAAAATCATCAAGTGTTACACAGATTATGAATAATTACAGGAATATTTCGGTATAGAAGATAATGAATTAGAAATTGAAAATGAGATAATACTTACACCTAGTAGTGTTGGAGTTGGAAGCAGGGGTGGTGGTCGTGGTGCTAGTAGTAGACCACATGTGGCCCCGACTACTAATCGGAGAAAAAGACGTAAGGTTCGGAATTTTTTTGACGAAATAGTAGGTACTGATAGAGTTAAATGCAGACTTTGTAATTATGATTTTAAACACAAGACTGAAGGTCAATTAGGGGGGACTGAGACTCTTAGTAGACATATGTGAATTGAGCATCCTATAGAATGGGGCTCTTATTTAGATCAAAATCAAGCAACTCTAAATACTACCACTGGAGAATTTATGAAACATGATAAAATGAAGAATCGTGAGGAGTTAGCAAAAATGATTGCTTTAGGTTGTCTACCTTTTTCTTTTGCTTCTTCATCATATCTTATTACGTATATTCAAAGGATTTATAATCCTTTATTTAAAGGTATCCCTAGAAGTACTTGTAGATCTGATATCTTTAGACTTCATGGACAATATCAAACATACATACGTTATTTGTTTGACCACCTTCCCTGTAGAGTTTCTCTAACTTCTGTTATTGGCCATGCTGTTAATGGAAATGATTATTTGACAATTACATGTCATTGGATAGATGATAATTATTATATGGGAAAACGTATTATCGCTTTTAAATATGATGAAGATCAGAGTCATACTGTTGTGTTTATAAGTACTACTATTTGCGAAGTTGTTGAATTTTATAATCTTAAGAAAAAAGTATTGTGTTTGCCTTTTGATAATGCTTCTAACAATAATGCCGCAATTTCAATATTAAAACTGCATTTGCAACCACCACTTGACGAAATTTTTCATGTTAGGTGTGCATGTCATGTTTATAATTTAATTGTTAAAAGTGGTCTTGATTTATTTTCAACTGAGATTGCTCATATTAGAAGAGCAGTTGGTGTTATTCAAGAAAATAATAGATAATCTAGAATTAGGGAATTTAAGAATAAGTGTACCGAGCATAACTTTAAGCCCAGATTCATGCCGGACGAAATTGTTGCTAGATGGAATTATACATATATATTTTTAAAATGTTGCTACAAATATAGATTGCCAAAAACTGAAGTTGCTAATGCGCATTGTACTGATCCAAATCGTATGTGTTACTACTACTTGGGAGGCCAAAAATGATGTTGTTAATTTTTTAATAAATTTTATACAGCTACTGTTGAGTTTTCTGGAGCATATTACCCTACTGTTACTTTGGCTTTAGTACATATAGCTAAATTTCTTTTCTATTCTCTGAATTTAAGAATGAAAGAAAAATATAAGGATGCTGTTGAAAAAATGCAAGCATAATTCGAAAAATATTTCTTTTCAATTCCTCCGATTTACTTAACTGGTGTTGTTTTAAATCCTTCTATTAAGATGTCTGATTGTCACCAATTAATCAATGCTTTATATACTTATATGGAGATTGGACCAACACATATATATATATGTATATATATATATATATATATGTATATGTATATGTATGTATGTATATGTATGTATATGTATGTATGTATATGTATGTATGTATATGTATGTATATGTATGTATGTTTGTATGAACAAGCTAAATGATATTTACAACAATTATATAATTATTATGCAAATATATTTGATGATGATGCTCTTAATGTATGCAATATTAATCCCACTATGCATTGTACCACTTCTACTACTATGGATGATGATGAAAACCTTGATGGTTTCAATATTTTTTCTACATTTTCTAACACTCAAACCAGTAGCAGGAACATTGATGAACTTCAATTCTACTTGCAAAAGCAAAAAGAGCCTCGCATAAAGGAATTTTCATCGTTGGGATGGTAGCATGAGAATGAAAAACAATTTCCTATTCTTTCCGCTATGGCTCAGGACGTGCTGAATGTGCAAATTTCAACTATTGCATCAGAGAGTGCATTTAGTCAAGCAAGACAACACCTTGGAGACACCCGTCACTCATTGAGAAGCAAATGCTTTGGAAGTTTTAGTATGTTTCAGAGATTGGATTAGATCAGAACGAAGAAATCAGGGACGTGAAGATGTTGATAGCCCAAAAGACGAGGAACTTGGAGATATGTTAATACATGGTAACCCTTATGAATTTAACACTCCAGAAGATGGCCAAGAAGTTCATATTGATTATGAAGAACTTACTAAGGCAATGCAGAACCTTTGAATTTACTCTTTTTTCGTTAATTTACTTGTTGTTAAATGCAAACTTCAATTTGTAAGTTTGAATTTTGAAATAAAAAAGCACTTGCAATTTATAAGTGCACAATTCTTTTTCCATCTTCATTGTATTCTTTATATTTTTACTTTATATTAATATAAATTACAATAGTTATACAAAATACAAAAAAAGAAAAAAATAACACTAACCCGGCCCGGCCCCTTGGACAAACCCTTACGGTTCATTTTGGGAGAAATTCAAAAATAGCCAGATTTACCACTGGTCGTTGAAAAATAGCCAAGTTTCAAAAGTCATCGAAATTTACCCACTTTAAATCTGAGCGAAAACACTGTTCAAAATCCGGAAAAATACGCTCGCAAATTTTATGGGAGTTCCAGCATAAGTATGCTTGAACTCCCGTAAATTTTACGGGAGTTCCAGGATAACTATGTTAGAACTCCTGCAAATTTTACGGGAGTTCAAGCATAATTATGCTGGAACTCCCGCAAATTTTACGGGAGTTCCAGCAAGTATAATTGTCCAGTATAATATACTGGAGTTTGGAGCACTGGTGCTCCAGTCTCCCGCAAATTTTACAGGAGTTAGCAAAGTATACCGGTCCAGCATAATATGCTGGAGTTCGTACACAAATGCACCAGAACTCCCATATATTATACTGGACCGGTCCCTGTTGCAGCAAAATAGTGGCTATTTTTCATTGACTTGATAAACGCTGGCTATTTTTCATTGACCAGTGTGAAAACTGGCTATACCATGATATTTTAACGTTCATTTTTTATCCGGATGGACCCGGACCCTCTAAGCCCGGTTTAGACTAACCCGTAACTGGCCCGGATTGGAAACCGACCGGCTTCCTTTTTTCCCAACCTGGACCGGCCCCCACCCGTTACACACCCTTAGTTGAAAGTATAAGAAAGTATCTTAATTATTGGTCCAAGAAATCTTGTTCATGTGGGCGTCAACCAACTAAACGTTAGTAGTTCTAAACTCTAGAAAACGTACTCTTTATTGGAGCCTTAATATGCACTTGAGCATTTACATGAACAAAATTAAAGTGAAAAGGAAAAAAAAAAGAACCTTACTATCACTACTTGCTTGTATAAATCAATAGTAGATTATGGATCTATCTTATCTAATCGTAACTAATTAAGATGTATATTCACATTAATTTATTGCTCTTAAATATTGATATGAAATCATCAAAAGATACTGGTAAAGAACATACGTATTTTAAAACATATAACTAGTTGAGACCTAGGAAAATCTTCATTCATCTATAAAAGAATTGAAACAACCCTATTCAATTATTCTTGGTAAGGATTAGAGGGACATTTACTCGTAAATTAATACAAAAAGTATGTAGGAAAAGGAGCATGGCACCTAACATCGTGTAAATTATATATATATCTAATCTTATATATATATATTTTAAACATATAAATATTTCTTCGTACAATCCTAAGGTCGTTGGTTTGCCTTTACCACAGAAGCGTGCAAAACTCCACATATGTGGTACCTTAGGCATATCCAATATTTTCACATATAAGTAAAAGTAGTTTGACATACAACAATGATTATTCAAAACTTAGAAGAATAAAGAGGTTGAAAGAGGAAATTTGATTTTGTCAATAAAAAGGCTGTAGCCCACCTTCTTCAGTGCTAAATACGTGTCTGAGTATCTTTCCACGTGTTTATTAAAGACAACACCTAAATTTCTTCTTCTATGCAATCTAAAGCAACTTTGTCTGGTTTTAATTTCCCTCTCCATTTACTTGCTCTTTTTTGGTGAGTGATTTTGATTTATAATTTTGTGTTCTTGTTTTCCTTACAAGCTTTTAATTCGTTTATTTCTTTCCCCTTTATTCTCGAATACCAGTAAAATACGTTCGATTTTTTTGCCCTTCAGTACCTAATCGTGACCGTTTATGCAGCTTGATAGTCGACAGAAGCCATCCACGGCAAATACTACTTCGGAGTAGTTATACAGAAAGATAGCCATATCTTTACCTAATTTTTGGCTAAATATTGTGGTTCAGAAGACCGATTCCCTTTAGGGAATCATTTGCCAACTCTTCGTGAATGCGGTAATTATGAACGACTAATTATTTGGATTTTTCCTTTGAAATTCTTTTAATTTCCTCTTTCTATATTCTTGTATAGCTAGCAGATTCTTTCCGCATATATATATGAAATTGCAAGAGGATTTTTCAGACGTCCGTAAACATAACTCCTTTCACTCTTTTACTATTTCTCCCATGTTCATGATACGAATCGGTCATGAACGAGTCGATCATAGATGTAAGCGTATTACATATGATTGATGTATAATTATGTATGAAGAAATATTATCCATGACTATTCTTCTTCTTTATTTTTTCTCTATCCTGCATATCTAGATCTGGGATTAATTATCTTTAGCTAAGATTTACTTTCTTCAATTCTAGCAATTAGTTCGATTCGGTCCGGATGACGAAGGCCCGCCCAAGTCAGCAACAGTGGCCACGGGATCCCGACTTCCTGTCGCAATAGTCCGTTGATCGTTTCCAACTATCGAAGCCTCTACCGTCGGGTTGGCCTCTGCCAACTGGCTCACCTCTACGACCGAGATGGTGTCACCGCCAATTTCAGGCATCACCAAGGGAAGGTTGCCCCGAAGAAGCTTCGACAGAAGGGGCCACTTCGGATTCCACCCGCCGTCTCTTCGACGGACCCTCTTCGCTGTTAGCACGGGAAGATTCACCCGTTGAGCGGACAACAGAAAGTCGGAACTTCAGGATGAGGAACAATTTCCATGCATACGGCCTCGACCATAGGTATAGATTGAGCCTCCCTTGACGTGGGCGGGCAGCAGACCTCGACGCGGGCCGGGCGAAAGACGGCGGTCGACGGAACGCGAGCGGAGGGGCCCTTACCCTTCGCACTCTCCCTGTTAGCAAAAAAAAGAACGGTCTTGTGATCTATAAGTTCGAGTTACGAGGCAAAGAACGGGGAAGTTGCGGCGAACAAACTTACCAGTGAGAGGCTTACGCCCGTATTTCTCGTAGAAGGACGCCCATTCGGGAACCCCCACCGTATGGGGAAGGATGGCATTCACCCATTCGCGGATATCGTCAACAGGTGTGAGAGGTTGGTGTGGGAGGTAATCTCTCGGCTGCAAAAGTGAAAACGATTTAACAACACTGCCCAAAGAAATACGGTCGACCACCACTACTACAAGAGGTACAAAGTAAAATAGGAAAACTTACGTGCGAAGTTCCACCTCTCAGGGAACGTTGCGGAGTCCGTCACAAGGTCCGCACATAAAAGTAGTTTTCCCAGAAACGACGATTGGCTTTGTCTTCCATCTTCACCACTAGACTATATGTTCCTCGGTGGCGTATGTGGATCATCGTGCCTCGCATAAGTTGAGGAGCAAAAATATTGAGCATATGTCCCAAAGTGACCTCTCGACCGGCAAGCTCCGCGAACTTGAGCACCATGAGGAACAACTTATATACGTACAACGAAAGCTGAGCCGGGCACACTTCGTAGAAACGGTAGAAGTCTACCACCAAGGAAGGGAGAGGAAGCGTATACCCGACAACAAAAGGGTATGCATAGAAAGAGTAGTATCCTGGAGTCCAAATGTACAATATCATCTCCCGCCGCTAGCAACATCTCAACATGGTTCGGTATCCCACATTTGGTCTTAAGCTCCACAATCGCCGCTTCATCCATAATAGAGGGAACAGGATCCGGTTCCTCTCTGGCAGGGTTGTTGAAATTAGTCCATAACTTTCCCAGACGGGGCAATATTTCGGCCGCTGCTGGAACCCCTTCATCCTCCGCCACCTCCACTCCCCCGAGAGCAGGAGCATCATTTTCTGGCACCGAAACTGCAAGTCTGTCAGCACGGGAAAAAGTGCTAGCCATTTGTTTCGATTGATCAGAATAAATGAGTAAGAGGAAGTAGGAGGGAAGACGGTGGCGTCAAGTTCTGACTGACGAGAGAATGAACTCAGAAGTTGGGAATGTTGAAGAAGGTAAAGGTTTGTAAATCTCTTTAGATGAATCGGAAATATGGCGGTGGAATGGTGTTTTACCCCTATTTATAGGAACATGAATGTCCCGGGCGAGAAACCCAAGAGCCGCCAATCAAAAACTGATGAGGCACGGGAAATAATATGGTACCTAGGAAACATGGGCCTCAACAATGCGTAAAGGGCATTCATGACGTTGCAAACAGACGCGATAGTTCAGTTCCGAACTGACATAACGGTTCGATAGTACCATCAAAATGCCATACCACCTTCCTTAACCTAAGGTTCTCGTTCGACGCGCCACGATCAGACCTACAGGTTTCGCATTTCCCAAATATTTTTCGCAATTACCAGGATTGTTCGCATTTCCCAAACTTTCTTCGCAATTCCCAGGTTCGCATTTCCCAAACATTTTTCGCAATTCCCAAGCCTGTTTGCATTTCCCAAACTTTCATCGCAATTCCCAGGTTCGCATTTCCCAAACATTTTTCGCAATTCCCAAGCCTGTTCGCATTTCCCAAACTTTCTTCGCAATTCCCATGTTCGCAATTCCCAAACTATTTTCGCAATTCCCACGCCAGCTGGGTTCGCAATTGCGAACCCATGTTCGCATTTCCCGCATCTGAGGCCTGCAATTTTTCATACTTAGACGAATTTTAACCCTCATTTCTTCATTCTTTCAACTCAAACACTCCATAGGCGATTTTCTAAGAAAACTTTCTTCCCCAAATCATTTGTAAGTCAATTTTTACTTAATCCCTTCAATCATTTACGTCATTTATCATGTTTTCATCTTAAAATCAAGGATTTTCATGGGTGAAAATGGGGATTTTGGGTAGAACCTAGGTTTTCTTCAAATTGGGGAGTTGGACCTCAATTTGAGGTCCGATTTCAAAACAAATCATAGATATGAACTCGTGGGGGAATGGGTAACCGGGTTTTGGTTCGAACCTTGGATTTTGACCACGTGGGCCCGGGGGCATTTTGGGAATTTTGAGTAAAACTTTGGGAAATTCATTTTCACGCATCCAAATTGATTCAATTAGCATTTGTTGATATATTCAAGTAATTTGTGACTAGATTCGAGCGGTTTGGTGGTGAATTCGAGGGGTAAAGCTATACTAGAGGCTTGAGTTGAGTTTGGAGCATTCGAGGTAAGTGTTTGGTGTAACTTTGGCTTGAGGGAATAGGAGTAGAATCTTAGTTGCTAATTGCAATTTGTCGAGTACGGTTTATAGGCATAGTGACGAGTATCTATACACTGGTGTCGAGCATGACCGTGAGTCCTAAATTGCTAAATTATCGAATTCTTAATTGTTGTCTATGAGGACTTGGTTGGAAATCTTTAACACTGAGCCAGTAATTGTTGAGACTGAGTATTGATTTAATTGTGTTAAGTAGAAATTGAATAAGTTTGGTTATAGCTGGATCTCCCTTGCCGGGATAGTTTATTATATTATCTTGTTCCCTTGTGCGGATAGTTTATTATATTATCTTGTTCCCTTGCCGGGATTATTTTGTGTATTGTGTTGAAAGAAATGGGATCGTGTGGCACACCGACCACGAGATATTATGAAATGGGA